CATGGTGCTTATTTCTGTTGTACCTTTTCTTAAAGCATTTTGCCATAATTTCATATATTTTCCTTTTCCACTCTTTATATAGGACATTTACTGGTTTGTTTTGATCCCAAACATTTTCTATTTTGTTAATTTTCACTTGTCTATCAAATTCCTTAAGTGAGTCACTTGATAAGACCCAGTGCCCTTGTTCCTTTTGAGGATTTTGGCTATAGACATCCTTTTTCCTGAAGTTAAAGTCAAGCACCATTGTATTATGATCGGATTCTTTCACACTATATTTCCCCACTCTTTCTAGAACATATCTCCTTTCTTCATCAATAATCATTCTATCAAATTTATCAAAGCCTTTTTGATTAACCAATGCATAATCAAGTATCGTCTTCTTATTAACATTACACTTGTCAGTAGTTGATACCCTTGTCCAAAGCCCTTGGCATTTATCACTGTTGTTCAATATGTTTAATTTTCTTTTCTTTACTATTTTCATTAGACTTTTTCCTCCTGTAGTTATTTTAGGATGGTTCCCTTTTATGTTATCTCCTACTTTTACATTTAAATCCCCTAGTATTATCAATGCTTTGTCTTCAATTTTAGCTTTTACAGCATAATAATCAATTTTATCAAAGAAAGTAAAGTTACTTTTTATTTTTGTCCTAGATTCCTGTTTACCATACACCACTCCCAATATTATTTCCCTACATCCAAGACTGATGTTAGTCCAGACCTGTTCATTATCATCATCTCCTACCTCTAAGACTGTTACTTTATCTTTTAGTGAATTTTTATATATCATCCATATGCCACCACCTTCTTTTTTTTCCCTTCTTAATTCTATAGGATCACAGTATCCTTTTAGACTGAGAGGACCCTCATAGGTTTTAAACTTAGGTTCTGTTATACAAATTATTGTAGGATCTAAATCCTCAATTATTGAACATAAGCTGTCTATTTTAGATTTTAGCCCATTAGCATTTGAATACAGAATTTTTATCTTTTGTTTATCATACCTTCTTGTTTTTTCTTTAATGTGAGCTTTTTTCCACTTGTTTCTCTTTACACAAGGGTAGGGTCCCATGATACCCAAGGGTGCTGAGGGACTTGTTGCTGCTGATGGTATTGTATGTCTCTAACAATTTCTTTTTTAATACTATCCATTGAGTCTTTTATGCATTGTTCGATCAGGTTTGTTACATCTGTTTGCTGAATATATCCTGTCTCTTTGTATCTTTGTTTCTCTGGGTGTAAAAATCTGCAATCAGTTCTTATGCAGACTCCTGTCATGTGTGCAAAGCATAATCCTGATGCCCTCCATCTATCCTTTTCATCAACATTACCACCAAGCCCGCCTATGTTGTGGGAGAATTTACAATCATTTCCCCACCTACAGCTGCCTTTCTGTTTCTTTTCATATCTACATTCCCTTTCCCCAAAATTTTGCACCTTATTGGGGGTATATTGGGGTTGAGTTATTATCTTTGATTTCAGGTGTTCCTGGTATTCTCTCAATTTTGCTAACTCTGCTTTTTTCTCTAATTCCCTGATGGTCTCTTTCTCTGTTTGGAGTTGCATATCATATTGGCTCATTTGACTCCAGGGTTTCTCGGCCTCCTTTTCTTGTTTTTGTTGCTTCCTTTCCTTGCTTTTTCTCTCTGCTTCCTTGGCATCCTTTTCCTCATCAAGTTTGTCTAGTATCTCTTCCAAATATTCTCTTTCTCTCTTTTCACTTTTGTATGCCCTTTTTAGCATTTCTTTTTCATCTGCTAGGCTACGTGTTTCATATTCTAGCCTTTCCACTTTTCGCTCTAATTGCAAAACCCTTCTCTTGAGTGCATCCCGTTCCTTTGCTATATCAGAGCTGGGGGCCTTTGCTTCTTGTTTTCCCGTTTTCTTTTCTTCATTCTTTTCATTATGTTCATTCTCTTTTCTACCTCTTTTTTTAACACTTCCTTTATGGCTTCTCTGGGGTGGAGGCACTGTTTTTCCATATCCTTTCCCTTTTTCCTCCTCTTTTTCTTCTTCTATCACTATTGTGGCACCTGCTACTACCTTTTCAGTTTGAGTATGTTCTGCCCCCCCTTCGTCACCACTTATCTCAGTTTCTTCATCTTCAGAGTCCTCTAATAGTTCTTCTCCAGAGTCTGGTGTTACATCTGAGTTTTCTGGGTCTCCTGAGTCTTCTGTGCCTGCTTTGAGACTTTTTTGACCGATGCCGTCTGATTCATCATCCAACAGCTCTATTTTGATTAGTTTTGCTTTACATCCTGGATCAGACACAAGTTTCTCTGGGAAATGTTCCCCCTTTGATTTTTTTAGGACCTTAATAGGGGTTAAACCCTTCTTATTTAAGTCTGCCAGATATTTGATCGTTGGCATTTCTTCTTCAAACCAGCATTGGGCTGCTGTTCCTCCCATCATAACACAATGCTTTCTCCCTTGTAGGTAGAAGATTGCTGAAAGAATTTTTCTGTAGCTGTTACCACATACTTTAAAATAGATTGACATAGTAAGCTGCTTGTTTTCTTCTGGATCTAATTTGCCTTCATTTGTCAGTACTGGAGCATTGCCATTTTCAGCCTCCCATTGTACAAGTAGGTTCTCATAATCGGGATCTTGGCCTAAATGATCGTAGTATCGTTTATCAAACGCGTTCAGCCAATATTCCATTTCCTCTCTATTTGGCAGGTATACTGACAGCCCACCTTTGAAGTTTTTTACCTTTATGTCTGTAGAGTTTGGTTTCTTCTTTCCCTTTCTCTTCATTTTTGCCATTTATTACTGCTGAAAGTTTTTCCCGTCGGGGCCAGTTAGTTAGGCCACAATCCACTTTTCTTTGTTCTTTACTGTTTCAAAGTGGCTTAGTTTAAAATACACGGTTCAGGCAGTTGTACTTTCTTATATACCTTGCAAAATTCTACTGTTTTAGTCGAATTGCCCAAACTGGTAATGGGCCTAAGTTAGGCCTAACCTTATCACTGAAAACAAGATTCTCTGCCCTTTTTTGCTGTTTTCACGTCATCAGAGTTCATCCTTGCTTATTGTTCCAGCAGATGACTAGTTTTAATCACATGGCCACTCTGCATTCCAGTTATATTCATAGAAATATGAACTCAAATTCCTTATCAAGAAAAAACGCCTGCTCGCTTCAACAACAACAACATTCAACAACAACAACAACAACAACCAAGCCAGCCATTCGCCGATTGGCTCGTCGTGGAGGAGTAAAGAGAATCTCTGGTCTCATTTACGAAGAGACACGAGGTGTTCTCAAGGTTTTCCTCGAGAACGTCATTCGTGATGCAGTCACGTACACAGAACATGCCAAGCGAAAGACTGTCACCGCCATGGATGTCGTCTACGCTTTGAAGAGACAAGGCCGAACATTGTACGGATTTGGCGGTTAAGTTGCGTCGTCCTGTTTACTGGACGAACGACTGGAGTGGCTCGCCTTCTTCAACAACACAAACAGCTTTTTTAAAAGCTACCATAAATGCCAATGTTACCCAATGTTTTAAACCTTGTGACAACACACGATTAACACGATCATAGGGGGTCTTAATTGAAACTTTTCTTAGCTCATTTTAACTCAACCGTTTTGAAATCAAGACCCTTTAATACCATTCACGAAAGAACATGCAGTTAATATCTATCTATATATCCCGGTTGAGGAAGTACATGTCCAATTTTTTGAACACAAAGATAGGTCAGTTAATTCGTAGGCAGACAGCAAGAATTCGAAATGTCAACTTTGTTTAGAAGACTGAATGATAGATAGTATAAGAATGCAAAGGCGTTATAAAGATATTGTAATTCCTTCCAGAGATGCTTTTTCAAAACGAAACTGAAACTATATAGCTTTACTGTATTTCTGTACTCCCTAGGATAAACAAATAGCACTTGCACACGGGAAAGTATAAAGAAAAAGAAAGACCATCTGATCACCAACTTGAAATAGCCAAATAGTAAACCATAGTTATTTCATTTTAAAGCAAAGTTAGTTATTTGCTGTTGAATGTTGTTTCTCATTCTCTTGATGCATGTATTCCTTATTAGGCCGCATATCATTATTTCAGGCTATGAAAGTAGTCTCAATGGTGCACAGCCCTCGAGAAGCAGCATGAAAACATCGAATGTCATGTCAGCCAAACACTAGCTACTCCCAATCGAATGTAGCCTACAATCCTAATTATCAGATATTAGATATGTGAAAATCGATTGCCATTTTACATAAAATGTAACTAGATGGATATATGTGTACATCGATAGCCTTTACAAAGAATGTGCCTATCGTGTGTGTGACAAGCAGGTACACCAAATCAGTTTTCGTGGTGGTTTTTAAAAAAACCGTTTTTAATGAACAAGTGGGCCGGGCCAACAAGTGAGTCCAAACTTTATGATTTTGGAGCTTTCTGCTCGGTCTTCTTTGGTAAGAGTACTGCCTGAATGTTGGGCAGGACACCACCTTGTGCAATGGTCACTCCACTCAGCAATTTGTTCAGCTCCTCGTCGTTTCTGATTGCAAGCTGCAAGTGTCGAGGGATGATTCTTGACTTCTTGTTGTCCCTGGCGGCATTGCCAGCCAACTCCAAGATTTCTGCCGAGAGATACTCGAGTACGGCCGCCAAATAGACGGGAGCCCCCGATCCAACTCGTTCAGCATAGTTTCCCTTTCTCAACAATCGGTGGATACGTCCGACTGGGAACTGAAGACCAGCTCTGGATGTCCTAGACCTTGCCTTGGCCTTAGCTTTTCCTCCTTTTCCGCGTCCAGACATGTTTCTACACTGGCAGTTTCAAATTGAAAAACAAAATGGTCCCTTGCTGTAAGATAAACGAATTTGTTCGCAACTGCCTGCTTGCCCGCCAAAGTGGTCGATTTGTAAAGGGCATTTACTCGAGATCTACCAATCAACACCCCCGCTATCGACCGCGAACAATAAGCGAACACGAGACAGCGAATCGACGTGTGTCACATGGCCTTCGAGCTAATCACTCAGCTGCCAACAAATATACTAAAAGCTTGCGTTGGCGCCAAAAGACCAGATCAGTGTTGCTCTGTCTATCGAAAGTTCTCGCAAGTCGAAATTGAATTTTCTTCATTTCAAGATTTCAAGATGTCTGACGCCCCAACAAAAGGAGGAAAACAGGCCCCAAAGGTTGCCAAGAAGGGGGAGAAGAAAGCAGGGGTTGGCAAGAAAGGAGGCAAGGCTGCCTCTGGAGATAAGAAGAGGTCGAAAAAGCGCAAGGAGAGCTACTCGATTTACATCTACAAGGTACTTAAGCAAGTCCATCCCGATACCGGCGTTTCAAGCAAGGCCATGAGCATCATGAACTCGTTTGTCAACGACATCTTCGAAAGGATTGCTCAAGAAGCTTCGCGTCTCGCCCACTACAACAAGAAGGCAACGATCACTTCGAGGGAAATCCAGACTGCCGTCAGGCTTCTCCTTCCCGGTGAACTTGCCAAGCATGCTGTCAGTGAGGGCACCAAGGCCGTCACCAAGTACACAAGCAGCAAGTAAACTTGTCGTTTACACGAACGAGTTTTTCTCGTCGTCTACAATCCAAAACAGCTTTTTTAAAAGCTACCAAATTAACCAATCTCATTGCTATACCCACTAACACACACGATGTGGGGCCTATTTATTTTTCACGAGAGGGGAGGACAGAGGAGGGCGTTATGGCTGGCACTTACTACTTTCTTTGTGTGCCGTAAACTCTCGAATTGACACTTACGGTGGAAGCAAAATTGTGATAAGCCAAACACGTTAAAATGTTACAATACATGATTTGTCAACGTTTGACAGGCTATACACATTTGATGCAATATTGCCATACATATTCGATGGAAAATTAAAAAACCAAAAAGGCACGATAATTTGTACAGAACCCCCGACATTCCACTACGAGGAGGGTTCGTTGGACGTATATCGGCTTACAATGCTCTTAGAGATATGTGAAAAAGCCTATAAGAATGTTCTTAGTTCTAAATTTTATATAATTTTATATAGCCTTAATGTTCCTAACATTCCACAACATTAAGAAATAACCGTTTCCTTTAGTTAAATCATTCAGCAGGGTATCTGTTGAAAACCTTGAAGGCCATATAACTTAAAAAACGGAAATGTGTGTACATACGCAGCCTTTGACAACACTCAATTTTGAACCATACTTGTCTTGTATATTTAATTGTAAAGTACACTGTTCGTTGCCTGTATTTAGGATGAGCTCTCATGTTCTTGAAATCGAGAAGAGTAAATTGTAGAGTTGTATGTATAATATTTGATTGGATTGTAACTAGGCTATGATGATTTACGACAAAACTTTTTATATAAAATAAACATGATATTTCCAAATGTAAACTTTTTCAATAAAAACAACAAGTTTGTATGAATAATAACCCAATAAATTGCTTCTGAAAAAGAACAGCTCTTGTAACAACAATCCCTATGAATTTTAGCTCCTTACTTTTTCAACTTTATGCTTTACAAATATGTTATTGATAGTTTGAAAAAAGGAAACAAATTGCTATCGTTTTTTTTATGAATCTAAGTAGTATTGTTTGCCCATAGTTGGTTTTGTTATAGTTTTATTGAAGCCTTTTGTAATTAGAGCCTTATATAACATATGCTTAGTTGTATTGGGTTTAACTTTTGTTGGCCTTTTAAGCTAGCGGCCATCTAGGCCAAGAAACGTTGTTTGAGGAATGATATTATTTTCAAATAAATTAAAAAGATAAATAGCATTTGGATCTATTCAAGCAATTCAAGAAATAAATTACATTTTCAAAAGGATAATGATATTACTTCCAACTGACATCCACACAAAATTTCTAGGCACTCGCTGTATGATTGACATAACTGCAAATTGTGGAATGTTTTTAGTATTATTTCAACTTAAACCTTTTCCTACAAAAATGTTCCTAAATGTTGAAATTTACTAATGCTTGCCTGCCATTTAAATTTTGTCCTTATAAAGCAAATACGAGCAGTTCGAGCTATTTTGGTTTACATGCCTGTGTCAGCGGTGTCAGCATAGCTCAGCAATTTATCCCGTTGAAATACACACACCTTCATTATTGAATCTGGAATGAAAATTCAATTTCTGTAGTCAAAACATAGAAAAGATCAAAATATCGCCATCGGTAAAATTTTCTCTTAGTGTGCCAAGCTTTCGATTCTATTGTTTCTATATGATTTTGTAAAACCACTTAAAAAGGGGGTTTTACAAATGTGAGTTCGTAGGTCGTTCGCAGAAACGTACACGATAAATACGGCAAAAACTGTTATCCAATTCTCTATACACTTCTTCTAATTCATCAGTTTACGGCAAACGACTAAAAATGTCTTAAATGGCTAACGGCGACAATGTAACGGCAAACACAATTCTGCA